CAGGCTGCTCCTGGTGGTACAAGCCAGTAGCTTGGTAGCCTCCACCAGGCCTTTCTACGGGAATACGGATCGTAGGATTCGGCGAAAAAGGAGAGTAAAATTGGCCAAGGGAGTCCGGCCGCGGGAAGGTAGCCTAGTTTTCTTTCCCTCCGAAGGAAGTCAAACCCCAAGGCGGCCAAACTCCACTAGCAACTATTATATATGTAGCCAGGGTAGTTAGTCTGGTAGAGACTAGTAGCTTGGGGCGTCTGGTCGAAAACTGGGTTCTCCGACAATCTAAAGCCAACCATCCCAGACCACCAGACTTTGGTATAAACAAACCACTACTAAACTTCTCAATCCAGGGATCTCCAAAACCAACACCCTATTATCCCTTTGCTTGTGGCCTGCGACTCAAGCATTTGTACGTTCACTGAAATCAAACCACAACCTACCAGTTGCCTTGCCGTGGTGCCCGCTGCCTTTCGGCGTCGCTTTGGCCGCCATCCTCTAGACACAAGACTCGGGCAGGTTCCCAAAACCCACTGACCCCTTCGCAACACTTCTCGAGTCAAAAGTCGAAGGTTACGGACTCTCCAAGACAGCGGTACATCCAGAGAACACCATGGCTGGAACAGAAGTCGGGCTTTCCCGTGCGTTGTGCGTTTTTGGTGTGTTCTATAAACCATGCACGATGACCCCGGATGTTTTGCGCTGCTCCCCGGCAGACTCTGTGTTTACCTGTCCGGCCGAGCAGTGTTGTCTGCCCGCGCGCTGATTGGAGGAGGCCGCGCGATAAAAACTGGGAGCCGCACACCAGAATTATCAGTGCTGAGGCTCAGTGCTTATCGGGGCTGCCGAAGCATTAATATTCATACGAATTTTACGGAATTCATACGAATTGTAAGGAATTCATACGAAGTTTAAGGAATGCATACGATTCAAGTCATTACAAGCTTAAGGAAACATACGATCCTTACTAATTTGGTAACCTGCGCCTGGATCACCAAATGTATTCCCAAGGAGGTTTAAAATCTTGTATTTAACCCCCTTGGTATTCCGTAAAATTCGTATGTTTCTGATAATACATCGACCGGATCGTATGTACCTTTTTTTATTTCGTGAAATTCGCATGTTGTAATGGATCGTATGCATTTCGCAAAATTCGTATGAATTCTTTGCCCCCGCCCCCTGGTTATTGCTGCGTCTATCTCGTGTTTTCAAGTGGTATGAAACAATCCACCTGTAGCACATATCGAACCATTATACATACAGAAGAAAATAGCAAACCGACATCCCATATTGTACAGGGGATCAACTTTATACAGAGAAACCTTGACTCCCTGTAATCTATGTCCTTGTTTCCATGCCGACATGGATGCCAGGGACTGGGGCCAGTTAGAGGGAAAGAATGGGTATAAGGGAACACTTTAATAATAGAGCATATACATGTTACAAGGAAATAAAATCACAAGCATTGTCCAAAAAATGTATCTGTATGTCCGGTATAACCACCCGTCGGCGTAACACACCAGCTTCACAGGCACGCGGCGCGGCGGCAGCTGGCTACATCACATCAAACGATTTGTTATACCTAATCCTTGAACATCTAACTCAACGACAGAATGGGTTTTTGAACACACCAATCCTTGGTTGAAAACGCTGGTGTTGAAGGCAGGACTATTTCTTGTTATTTTCTAAGCTGGTATTAGGACACACTGTATAGCAACAACTTAGGCCTTTGTTTGTAAACTCGCTATCTCTGTTTATAAAATGCCATGAAACTCTACTTACGACGAGATTTTGTTTGAAAAACTTTATCAGTGCGATACGCGTACGGTCCCTGTATTATCCTGTGGTGAACCCATAGCACTTGATGGTATCTGAGTAACGTTAGTGATCAACAGTTGGTGTGAGGTTGTAAACAGCGAGCACGTCACACACAGTGTTGCCCTATATACATATCTACTGGCCACATAAGGCGGAGAACACGAGAAAACTAAGCAACTGGATAGATTTTGAAAAACTAACCTATATTTTCAAAATCTATCTAGTTGCCTGAGTAACAATTTTCTTATGTATTTCATTACCTGGATGTCTAACCTTCATAGACGTGAGGTGGAATAACTATGTTAAATTGTTTACAAAAGTTTGTAAAATGGTTGTGAATATTTATGTACGTATTCAACTGGCCTCTAGATACATAAATAAAACTAAGGGTTTCTGAGAAAGAAAGTATCACGTTTTATAACTTATAGAACGGTACGGTATACGTATTTCCTGCACCAGAACTCCACTCGAAGAGGAAGGCAATAAAAGAAGCAATTGCTGCAATAAATATTAACACCCTGGCCTGGTTAGCTCTGTGAAGTCAAGTGTACCGCCATATAACAGTGCCACATGACTCTGATTTTTATCTAGGGCAGGGACCTCGTGACACAACAAAACAACGGACCAACGCAAAGACGTAACATGATCTGAAGGGAATTCTTACCTAATACATGTATCTACCTATCTATACATGTATTTGGCCAATTTGTACCCTTTCCAGTACCTTCGGAAGCCCAGCTATGCATTATTTGGAGCAAAATGAAGAAGGCAACTTAGAACATTAACAACATATCATACCACACTAGAAAATTTAGAGCGAGAATGATCTTTAAGCAGCAACATCAATTCTTATTGCGTGGCAAAACTTTAGTTGCATATTAATGATCATGTTGCGTAACACATAGCATGCAACCAAGATACGTAGAACTCTGTTCAACGTCAAGAACATACATCAAAACAGTAGGAAACTCAAGACAGTTGTGGTATAGACCCTTACTTTGGTTGGCGCCACAGCTAATGGTGCGAGTTAAACTTTTCCTGGTAGGAGCAGCAGTAGTAGCTTTCTTAGTTGTCACTCCAGCTTTCTTGGAGCCTGCTGTTCCCAACGACTGCCTCTCCGACTCTGACGACCTAGTCCTTGATCTCCTATGCGCCCCGTTCTGAGGCATGGTTGTTGCTTTGCGTTCTGAACTTCCCGATTTTCTGTGCATGGCTTGATGCGAGTCTGGGTACGTGTGTTATAATGGTAGTTTAATCGTTGCTCGGTACTTCGGAAAGGCGTTTGTGTGATTTACTGACCTGGAGGTGAGATGCCTGCGGCGACGGTAAACATAATAAAGATACCGTACGAATCGACTTTCGTCGTAAACAATAGAGACATAGCCTCACTTTGCAGGCTCCTTGCTGGACTGTTATGCATAGACATAAATATGACAGAAACATGCGTACAGAGTCCCCCAAAAGCTCGACTCCCAGAGCTGCTAAAGAAGCTAGCCCTATGCTTTCGTCGTAAACAATACAGATGTAGCCTCGCTTAGCAGGCCTCCTGCTGGAAGTTATGTATAGACATATACAGGCTTCTATGGAGGCCGAGCCTCAAAGAAATCTGAGTACATAGTAATCTCCAAGCAGATCCCTCTCGGTGGCAAAAAGACAGTATCAAATTGGTCAGGCAGTATCCATTAGCCAGAGAAGGTCCGCGGCCACCGACGGTGGTGGGGGCCAGGACAAAAAAAAAAGGCCATATATAAAAATGTAACGATCATTCCCCCACAACCTCTGCTTGGAGAGTAAGTACATAGTCCCCCAAAAGTAATCTACAATACTAGTACTCCTCTGGCCAATTGGATACTGCCTTGCCACCATAGCATCTTCTTGGAGATTACCCACAAAGATTACCCACTAGCCCGAAACAGGAACTTTGGAACCTCTAAATCAGGCTAAATTTAACACACATGTAAGAGAGACGACTTTATCATACCCAGAGACTCTAAGCCTTCGCGGTCGTATTCAACCAATGTCCTGCAAATTTGTAAGTAACGGAACAAGACAATGACTCTAGCTTAGGAAGTTAAAAATCAAGTAAGCTTCTCTCTCTAGTAGCTAATCTCAAAGTAGATCCATATAGTACTGCGTCATGGTAACTGCTGCAGAGTCCACTGGCTAAGCACTGATTTAAGAGCCTCGGTAACTTGGCTGCCTTGCCACCGTAGGATCTGCTTGGAGATTAACTCTATGAAGGAGAAAGAACGACATATAAGTACTTCAACATAACAAGACAGTGGCTAAGGTAAGGAGAAAACAATGGCCATTAAAAGCACTTCAAGTCGATCTGGCTATCAGCTATTGCTGGTATAGAATGCACGGTATGTTAAGTTGGTTGTTCTAGAGGGGAGAGTATATCATATGATATCGTCTGCAGGCAACATGAGCACATTCCAGGCGTGGTTTTGGATCATTGTACCGCTGTTCTGGTGATTTATTGTAGCGCTTGTCGCGTAAATCGTGTCCTCTGATCACCCATAAAAGTGTCTTAGTGACAGATTTTAGAACTGTTTTGAAATGTTACATCTACTCGGGATTTTAAGGGTTACATGAGGGCAACTAGAAAAGTATATGGGTCGACGTTACACGATATTTTGACAACGTTAAGGGCATAATTTTAGGGCGACAAAACTTGATTTTCAGAGTCAATTTTCTGGTCATTCTTTTATTGTAGTAAGATGAATCAACCCTATCCCATAGCATATTGATATCAGTGAGACAAAAATGCGATGTCACTGAGTGCCTGTTTTGTATCGTAGGCTGGCTCTAGCTATTTATTGGTGGTACCGTATGACATGTACCAAAAAGATATAGTGACTTCTCACGTAGCTTGTTTTTTCAAACGTTATTTCAAACGCTTGTATGACATAATGACGAAAAAGATATCACAGTCAGTTTCAGATAGATTTCTTCATTCAGAATATTTTTGTTTTGCTGTCCTGAAATTGTATGGTGTAACATTTCCTCACTCAAAAATTTCTTCACCCTTAATTTGTGGCGTTCATACCAATACCGCTAGAGGGCAGCATTTCACAACTGAACCGGGGGTTACCTCAGGTCAACTCAAAAGTTCAAAGGTCACTTTTCAGCTGATCACTGGCAACCAAAATTTTCCGAGCCACGTCGACTTTTTGAGACGATCTGAGATGGTAAAAGTCGTTTTTCTGCACCCTGACTTGGGCATCGGCGGCGCCGAAAGGCTTGTAGTGGATGCAGCGCTCGCTCTGAAGTCCCGCGGGCACGAGGTACGTTGTTGTTCTTGTTTTAACGTCTAGATTTTACATGTATATCTCGCTAGACGTGGTCTCTTGGTGCTGGTTTGCGCTAGCCTCCATAGCATGCCAAAACTGGGGGTTTGGGGAGTCTTCAGGGTCTTCGGGAGCTTAATATGTGCTATTTTCTGATTGCATATAGACAACATAGCCGGCCTGGTTGAATTACCCCCGTTTTCTAATCAGAAAACAGCCGAAGAACACCAAACCCCCGGGGTATCGAACGACGAAAAACACAGCGTGAGATTCTTCTCCACACGCGGGGTTGGCACGTTCGTGGACTACGGAATACAGTACAATCGTATTAGGATGCAATACAATTTTACGGAATACAGTAGTAATTAATACTAATACAATTGCACTGTATTCCGTAGAAACCATTCCGTAAAATTGCACTATATTTTAGTAAAATTGCACTGCTTGTGTACCGTTCTTAAGGTAAGGCCCTTAAGGGGGGAGGGGCAGATTGTCTTCTACATACTGTGTATGTATAACATTAGGTATGTGTGTGCATGTAACATTGTGTGTGTGTGTGTGTGTGTGTGTGTGCCTGTGTGTGTGTCTGTGATGTGTGTGTGTGTGACAGTGTGTGGGTCTCTGTGTGTTTGTGTAAAATTGCACTGTATACTAATACGATTGCACTGTATTCAGTAAAATTGCACTGTATACTCTGGCACCCCTGATAACATCTACTTGGAGATTACGTCTACTTGTTCACTGCTCCAGGTCCACTTCCTGACGGCCCACCACGACCCGGGCCACTGCTTCCCGGAGACTCGGGACGGCTCGCTGCGAGTCACCGCCGTGGGAGACTGGCTGCCCCGGTCCGTGTTTGGGCACTGCTACGCGCTCTGTGCGTATCTGAGGATGGTGTTTGCTGCACTCTGGCTTGTCGCTGGTAGTGGGTGGGAGTATGATGTCGTCTTTTGCGATCAAATCTCCGCCTGTGTACCGTTTCTAAGGTAAGGCCCTTAAGGGGGAGGGGTGGATTTGTCTTAACATCTAGGTGTGTAACTACTACTGCATGTAACGTTATGTGTGTGTGTGTGTGTGTGTCTATGTGTGTGTGTTTGTTTGTATGTGTGTGTGTTTATCATGTGTGTGTGTATGTATCTGCATGTGTGTGTGTCAGTCAGTGTGTGTGTGTGTGTGTGTGGGTCTGTGTTTGTGTGTGTGCTTGTTTGTGTGTCTACATGTATGTGTGTGACTGCCGTGGGAGACTGGCTGTCCCGGTCCGTGTTCGGGCACTGTTACGCTCTCTGTGCGTACCTCAGGATGGTGTTTGCTGCCTTGTGGTTGGTGGTGGCCAGTGGCTGGCAGTACGATGTGGTCTTTTGTGATCAAATCTCGGCTTGTGTGCCCTTCTTAAGGTAAGGTTCTTAAGGTAGGGGTAGGGGCGCTTCTTGTGGCATTAATTTAGTGTGTGAGTGTGTGTGTATGTGTATGTGTGTGTGTGTGTTTATGTGTGAGTGTATGTGTGTGTGTGTGTGTATATGTGTGTCAGTACGTGTGTGTGTGAGTGAGTGTGTGTGTGTGCTAGGGCACTGCTACGCCCTGTGTGCGTACATCAGGATGGTGTTTGCGGCGCTGTGGTTGGTGACTGTTAGTGGATGGGAGTACAATGTCGTCTTCTGTGACCAGATCTCGGCATGTGTGCCATTCTTAAGGTAAGTCTGTAGTAATATGTATAATTTTAGGGGAGGGGCGTTTATTTCGTTGTATGACAAGAGCCAATGTGTGTATCATGTGTGTGTCTGTGTGTGCATGTATGTGATGTGTGTATGTTTGTGTGTGTGTACGTGTGTGTGCCATGTGTACATGTGTGTGTGCTTGTATGTGATGTGCGTGTGTCTGTGTGTGCATGTACATTGTATGTAATGTGTGTGTGTGTGTGTATCATGTGTGTGTGTGTGTGTCATGTACTGATCTGACAGTAGTCATCTGATCAGACAGTAGTCATCTGGGTTGATCAGACTGAAACGTATACCCATGACTTCTTGTTTCTCCCCATGACCCCAGGTTGAACCGTTGGTCCCGTGTTATTTTCTACTGCCACTTCCTAGACCAGCTGCTAACCCAGCGCCGCAGCATGTTAAAGCGACTGTACCAGGCATGTGTGTATGATTCTGGTTTGATCAGACTTGTACCCATGACTTCTTGTTCCTTCGCAGGTTGAACCGTTGGTCCCGTGTGATTTTCTACTGCCACTTCCCCGACCAGCTGCTAACCCAGCGTCACAGCATGTTAAAGCGGCTGTACCGAGCTCCTATAGACTGGTTAGAGGAGACCACAACTGGCATGGCTGACTGTGTGCTGGTCAACAGCAACTTCACAGGTCAGTAAATAATAGTTTAGCCTGGTTACCAGACCTATTTTAGCTGCCCAGTAACTAGAATAGCATGTTAAAGCGGCTGTACCGAGCTCCTATAGACTGGTTAGAGGAGACCACAACTGGCATGGCTGACTGTGTGCTGGTCAACAGCAACTTCACTGGTCAGTTATATTAATGATAATTAAGCCTGGTTACCAAACCTATTTTAGCTGACGAGTGTGTTTTGGTGGAGGACAAAAGAGACCCAGTAGCTAAAATAGCATGTTAAAGCGTCTGTACCGGGCACCCATAGACTGGCTAGAGGAGACCACAACCGGCATGGCTGACTGTGTGCTCGTCAACAGCAACTTCACAGGTCAGTTGTAACCTCAGTGTAATTTATGGGGGTTTTGTAAAGATAAAGGTAGTCGCAGACTTTTTGAGGCAGTAGGGGCAGTGGCTTGTTAATCCACTGTGTCTAAGGTATGATATTGGAGGATGGAGCCCATTCCTCTACTTCCACTACCTTTTACCTCCCTAACAGAAGTTAGGTACCCATTTTACACCTGGGTGGGGTGAGGAAACTCACATCAAGTGACATAACATCTTGTTAGGAATACAAGGGATTAAACCAGCAATCTCTCTATCTAATTTTCACTCGACCATTCAACACCACTCTGTTTCTTTCAAAGTAGAGCAACTGGAAATGAATGTGAACTGAAACATTGACAGTAATTTCCTAACCTTCTCTCCCCAGCTGGTGTGTTCAGGGACACCTTCACGTCCTTATCACAAGTGACCCCCGCCGTGCAGTACCCCTCACTGAACTTTTCCGCTTTCGACGCTCCCGTGGACCCCCCTGGTGACCTCATCCCGCAGGGGTCGGGGGTCGTCTTCCTGTCAATCAACCGCTACGAGAGGAAGAAGAACCTTGGTCTGGCTATCAGAGCACTTGGTAGGTGTTAATGTGATGAAGCCACCAAATTCTACCCTTTCACAGGTTTATAGATAAAAAGAAAACTACACTTCTTCTCTTGACATCTGAAAACCTAGCCATCATACATATATGTAGTTACTGTTGCTGGCTACCACAGACTAGCCAGCGACTGTAGGGAGCCAACAGTAACTACATTGTACATAGGATGGCACCCATAGGCTACTAATAACCCCCACCTTCATCTTTCTGATGTAGAAAGGTTTTAGGTACAAACAAGGGGACTAATAAAAAGCAGTACATGTATGAGAGAAGTTTGATGTAATCCTGGAAATTTGCGGGCAAGTTACATGTTTGTAACCAAATAGTAGAAACTATGAACTCTGTCCATCTGCAATATTGCATTTAGGTGAAAAAAATATTTCAAGCCTTGTAAGTTGTATTCACAATCTTCTCAACCTGTTCCTTACTACAGGAAAGCTGAAGGAAAAGCTACCAAAAGACAAATGGCCAACAGTGCACCTCATCATGGCAGGTGGCTACGACAATCGTGTCGTAGAAAACGTCGAACACCACCAAGAACTCGTAAAACTCGCGGAAGACCTCGGACTCTCGGACCACGTGACTTTCCTACGCTCCTTCAGCGATGCCCAGAAGAGAACTCTCCTCTCCCACAGCACTTGCCTCCTGTACACCCCTAGTAATGAGCATTTTGGTATAGTCCCTTTGGAGGCCATGTACATGAAATGCCCTGTGATCGCTGTTAACAGCGGCGGCCCTTTGGAGACCGTAGGCGACAAAGAAACCGGCTTTCTCTGTGACCCTGAAGCAGAGAGTTTCGCCGCGGCAATGCAGAAGTTTGTGGATGACAAGGATTTGTCAAAGAAGTACGGAAACGCGGGAAGAGATCGGGTGGAAAAGAAGTTCTCGTTCGAAGCGTTCACGCAGCAGCTAAATAAGGTAGTGGGAGATACCATGAAGCTGGACCCAAGGGGGGGTCGGGTGTTGACAGTATTCGTGACTCTACTGTTCATAGGAGGGGTGGGCCTTGCATTTATCCTGGGCCAACTGTTAGGATAGAAGGGGAATATCAAAGATTTTGAACAAAATGTCATAATTCAGCATAGCTTTTACATCTTTGTAACCAGTACTAGTGATAGCTCTTTGTTATTTCATAGCTTTCTGTTAGTTGGGCAGCCCTTAGGTTGCACTTGATTATGTATGTTGCACTATAGCCAAACCCCCCAAAAAGTATAATAGATTTTAGTGCCAAAATAAACATCTAATTAAGATTTATAATCATCAATTATGACATTCCAGTAATCTACTGACTTATTGTTGCAAAGAATGAAAGTATGAAATGGAAAAATTGCAGTGTTCTTTTAGCAAGGTACATGTACATAATTGTACATTTTGTACAAGTCATGTATGATGAGTATTACTTGTAAGAAATCACAACAGAGTTCTAACTTCAATCAAATATGCTTTAAGTTTTGTACAGCAAAGATTGAGATGAAAGAAGTAGGTGCAGTGTATACTATATGTAGTACTACATGTATTGTCAAAACCACAAATCCTACAATATATACAATATTTAAAAGTACAAGTACTGAACATATCATAGCAATTACACAGTCAGTGACATTACTAGTAATTTCCTACATGATAACTCATGACTTGTCACACGTTTTCTCTGAGAATGACACAAATGATTTGTATAATGTACCAGACTGAGTACTTGTTTTGCAATAAAACAAGCTTGAAGTCACAAGGAAAATGACTAAGAGTATACTTAAGACATCAACTTCAATACTTCCCATGAAAATTTGTAGAACAAAGCTAAAACATTTGAGAAATTTTGCTCCTCACATGTATCTGTACTTCCTGATACAGTGGTCAGCATAATCCACTACAAACACATGTCCATCCTCTGTCACAGCCACCCCGTGGGGTTTGTTCAGTTTGTCCCCATCACTGCTGATGGTGGACACCCAGGTGCCGTCTGGGCGGAACACCTGAAGCTTCTTGCCATGCTCTACACCACCTACATCAGACTTGTCCCCTACATTTGCCAGAACTATGTTCCCCCTGCTGTCAGCTGACACCCCTGTAGGACCCCACACTTGCTGAGGCTCCATGCCATGCTCCCCAAACTTGGTCATAAAGTTCAGACAGATATCAAACACCTGAACACAGTTCTGAAGCGTGTCTGCCACGATGATGTTACTTTCCTCATCCACACAGACAAAAGACACAGACTTGAACTGCCCCTCCCCTGGTCCCTGCCCTCCCACCTGTTTCACAAGCGTCCCATCCGCTTCCACAAACAGAAATATGTTCTGGCTAAAATCAGCTACAACAACCCCCCCATCCTTCTGTACTGCCAACCCACTAATGTTAGCGCAGTGCTCGCCCAGATGCAGTTTCTTCTGCAGCTCTCCTGATGGTGAAAACTTCATCACTTCTTCCCCACACTGCACAATTATGGTGCCATCGCTAGTCTGAACTGCAAGCGACTCTGGGTTAGAAGTTGTTGAAAACGAGAAGCAAAACTCCCCACTGATGTCAAACACCTGAACACGCTTGTTGAAAGTATCAGCAACATACAGCCTCTCCCCCCAGACTGCTACATCTAGAGGCCTGTCAAAATCACCCTCCTGGCTTCCCTTCTTCCCAAATTTTAAAACAGGGTTGTTACTTCTCACGTCCACAATTAAAGGGGCTGTACCCCTCCCCCAACCCCGCTTGCCCTCTGTAGCCACCCCCACCACATGCTTCCCTGATGTTTGCGGCCTCCACTCGGCTTCAAAACACCCCTCGCTGACTTTGGTGGTCTCTAACATAACGCACTGCCCCCCAGGAGAGGTGACAGTGACTTGTGGACTTCCCTGAACTTGGCCTTTCTCTGGCCTGAACACCACAGTAGTTGGCAGGCTTTCTACTGGGGCTTTTGTGACAACTAGCGGCTTACAAGTCAGGTTCAAGTCACACTTAATCTCACCACTAGGCTGGAACGTTACATGCTTTTTTAGTGGTTCGTGCTTGACCTGATTTGCGGTGTTACCAAGATGCTTCAGCCTGTTTTCTAGCTGTTTTTTAAGGGTCACAATCTCTGCATCACTGTTCCTAGCTAGAACATCTGTGCAGAACTTGACTCCTTCTTCGGTAGATCTCAAAGTCTCTTTGAAACCTTCTTTTTCCTTTGCCAGAGTTTCTAGCTGTGCCTCTTCCATCTTAGCTAGCTTGTCTATGACGTCCTGCTCTGCCTTGTCCAGTTTAGCCCTCAGCTGTACAAAATATTCCCGGATTTTGGTCCTCTCCGCTTGACAGTTTGCTGCGACACACTTCATTTCTTTCCCGATGGTGTCCCTTGTGTTCTTCAGGGTGTCGGTTGTGTCCTGGGTTTTCTGCACCAGTGTCTGTAGCTCATACTTGCACTTCTGAGCCAGTTCACTGATTTTTCGTGGACTGTGCTTCCAGCCCTCTCGGTGTTCAGTGACGGTGCAGTGTTGGCACACGAGCTTGGAGCAGGGCGCGCAGTAGAATGTTGTGCGCATGTCAGGGTGTTTTGAACAGTACTCCGCTCCTGTGAACTTTGCCCTACTGCTGGGGTTTGTCAGGTCATCCAGGGTGATTATGTAATGTTCCTTCAGGGCTGGTGAGTTTGTGTGTGCTGTTACACAGTTCCCACACAGCAGAAGCCTACAGTCACCGCATGTCCCCTCCACCTTCGCCCCAGACTTACACATCTCACACTTGGCTTCTTCGCTGTTCTGTAGCATCCTTGAGTTCAGCAAGTTCTTGATGTAGAAATTGGTAGGAAAACTGTCGACCGAATCTTCACCCTTTAGTGTTACCTGGTTCTGGCAGGTAGGGCAGGTGAACAGGCTCTCTTCCTTCTGTGCCGCTACGAGACACGTGGCACAGACAGAGTGAAGACATGGCAGGACTCGAGGGTCGTTGTAGGTGTTCTTGCAGGAAGAACAAGTGAGGGATTCCTCCATGAATTCTTCTTGTAGAGAGTCTGGTGAAGCCATTGCTCTTGAATTTTGGTCCTCAGAAATCCCACAAATTCTACCCAAAGAGTTCGAACGGAAAAGGACTTCAGCATACATGTAGCTGGTGTGTTGCGCCAAAGGACGGTTATACTTGCTATACCGATACAGATCAGTGGAAAAAATGGTGCCCAACACAATCTAAGCTACATCTAAGATAAGAGCTTTTCAGCGATTGGTTCAGGGTAAAAAATATGCAAACATTTTATTTGATTTTGTGTAGAACCTTTGACTTGTTACACTGGCAAGGCCAAAGGCCTCACACACGGGCAAAGTTTAAAATCTGGCACAATGGAAAAATCCTATATAAGTTCTGAGTTTGTATGTCACATGTTTCTGTTCAAACTTAAGTATTGATTTTTTTACCTCCACCAAAGAGGGTATGCTTTCAGCGCTGTACGTGGTTCCATTGTTTGTGTGTGGCTGAATTAATTTTCATGATACATGTACTTGGTATGCAAGTTTTGGAGCTCCTAATGTCTATTTTTTAAAAGAAAAACAATGCTATAGAAAATGGCAAAAAACTGCTCCATGTCACTATGATACAACAGAAACAACCTACATGTAGGTAGGTGTTAGTAAAACAAAGAACAAATTATTGAATTATACGTTCTGTGATCTTTTGGTCTCAACAAACAGGACATTGTCAACAAACATGACATACATTTAGGTACATGTGTTAGTAAAACAAATGACAAGTTGTACATTTATTACAGCCCCCCTCCCCCATGTTAGTTGTTTTCCCAGCTCATGCCAGTTTGAGTTTTTTCCAGGCCGGTGTTGTATCCTTCTCCTTGGCTTCCTGCTCGTCTATCTCCTGTTCTAGTGTCTTCTCTGCTAGCTTGGGGTCAGGCTGGGTTCTGTAAGGAGACAAGACATGTATACTGTCACAAAATATCAACAAGAATGTCAGTATTCATGGCGTTCAACCTTGCATGTTACGATATAACTTTTAAACATAGATAGCCAATTTCCAACTGCAAAGAAAACTTTTGAGAAAAAAAGAACTTTGTACAAGTACTACAAAAAGCAAGACGACTTCAACAAGGGCTATCATCCACCAGCAATCATGATGTTTATAACAAAACTTCACTTTGAAGGGAAGCTTCTAAGTGCAAAAATCAAGCTTAAGACTTCCACTCACAATTCAACAATTAAGACTCATATTACCATCCTCTACTTATACAACAACACAGAAATAATCTACGAATGAATATACAGTACTTGTCTTATATGTATTTGAACAAGGTAGAAATCTTACATTTTATACACATGTCCGAGGTACACAGGGTTTTCCTCGGCTTCTTTAGCGTGACGTAGGATCGACTCCCGTGGGTTGGAGTCATCGATGATGTTTGGTGCGATGGTTCGGGAGATGTAGGAAGACAGGGTACTGCCGGTAGCACCAAGTCTGCCACCAGCACCTGTGTAAGGGGGATAGTGATCATTTAGAAGCAGACTATAGACTCGTTCTCATTCAAATGTGCAAAATGCTGTCTCTTTACAACTAGATAGGAGCCAAATCACGGACCTCATCATTGATTTCTTCATTTTCCCACTACACTTACTATATTTTCTAAAGAATGTACCACAATACTACGTTTGGCTGATGACTTGGAATAAATTATAGCCTTGTGTTTGGAGAGATCTGTAACCTCTGTTACCCCAGATTTCTGTAACCTCCGTTACAGCTCAAGTATGACGGTGGTGAAGTTTAGATAGAGCCTCATGTAGCACAAGAAATTGCTAGGTTTCTAAGGGAATCAGCAAGGAAAAACTTCATTTCATGGAGATAACATTGGAAAAGATAATGGCAGAGAAGTAAAAGTAAGTATAATTATATTAGTATATACGTACCAGCTCCACTGACAGGCAGGTCAGGTCGGTGAGACCGGACGGGGTCAGAGCGATCCTTCACCAGCTGTTTCCACGCCATCCGACCACGCCGGTTCTCTCGGAATATCGGGAGGGCATGAGCTGTAGAGGCAACAAACAAAATACATTAAATCCTCAGTAGTTGTAAGTCTGGCATTTGTAAGGTACACATCAGCTTTGCATGTATGTATGTTTTACATCAACAGACCTACAAGGTCTTAAGCTACATGCCTTAAAATATAGAGTCACTTAATCCTATTCAGTCTAGCATTCCACAGTCTCCTATTTCTCGCTAACTGTTCAAAGGGTAGGTGTTCACAGTCCATCAGTAGGGATCCAGCAGGCTGGTTGTCTCGATCCTCCGCACACATAGGCTTTCTGGGTGCACCTGACAAGTCATGCCTACAGATTCCCCTCCCAACATCAGCTAACATGACTATAAAATATGTATCTCGCATACATGTAGTGGGATGGGAGTGAGCAACTCACATGTCCTACCAACCATCGTTTGTTTTAGTTGCTTTACATAATTCTTGTTGTAATGTTTGTACTTACGTGTGAGAATCTGCTCATGAACCACAGTCTCCACCTGTTTCATGCTCCTCTTGGTCTTCACAACACACTGTTTGGCTCCCCTGTGGTCCAACACAAAAATATTCTCTCACTGATGAACTTTCATGATAGGAAACAGTCATGATGAAATCATACTACATGTACTCAATCAAAAGGACAAAACAAAAGATACTGCAAGAACAAAACCTTAATAAAAACTGCAAAAAAATCCAGTTGTAGCATTGTACAAGTGCATTTCTATGCCAAGACTATAGCATACAGTAGAACATAATGGAAGAATTCATTCATATAAAACAACAGAAAACATGATAAAGTTTAAGACAAGGACCTCAGTGCTAAACATCAGCTTAGCTGCTAAGGCTCTGTTTGGTAAAAAAAAACTTTGCATATGCACAGGAATATACATGTATAAAAGAATGAGAAAAAAAGCTTGTGAAAACTTGTTTTACATACTTGTGGCTCTTGTTGGGATCGTAGAAGACCTTAGCCTTGCCGTTGCTGCAGCCCACAATGATCTGGTTTAACCTGTAATGCCACAGGCAACGGACAACACCCTGGAAAACAACACAGCACAAAATGTCAATGATAGCAAGTATTATACTGAGTGTGGTATGTGTATGACAATATCATTAGATTGACTTTTAATATGTATGATTGTGGCTGTTTTGAATATTTATACAGTCATGTAAAACATCTTTTCTTTTGCCATGTGAAACATAGTATCAGTACATGTAGTCAAGTGAAATGTTTTCCAACTTTGTGCATGTACTATAATTATATGTCATTTGAACTTACTGTGCATAGATGCTATATTAGAATATTGTCTGTATTGTTCCTATCAATATATTTTGTACTACAGTACTGGTCAATTAGGTGCTATATGGTAAATTAGACCCAGAGTCTAAGAAGAAGAACTTACAGTGTCCTGCAGTTCTATCTCGTCCACCGTCCTGAATGTCTCCCTGTCCAGGAACACCAGCTTGCCGTTCCCCTCTCCTTTCTTCACCTGTGTACCCGTCACCACCATCTTATCATCCGGGCTGAACGTGCAGTCAGTCCTGAAGTAAAGACATTCATTTAGTTAGTCACTCATTTATTCAGTCATTCATTCATTATCATCTGGGTTGAACGTGCAGTCAGTCCTGAGACAACAAAAGATAAATACAACAATTAAGGTTAGACATCCAGGTTGAACATGACATGATATAAATCAAGAAACTGGATATATACATGTACTCTTGAGAGTCAAATACACTGTTCTAGCCAGCGTCAATCTTTCTGTCATTTGACGAATTGACAGTATTTTGCCACTCATGATCGACTAAAATTCTGCCCAACCAGTCATCTTTGATGGACAATAGTCAGCATGTAAACTTTAAGATATGAAAAGAGAAGTAGTGTTTCAGACAGTCAAGATTTCAAAATTTTGCCCCAAGAGTCCCCTAGGATTGGCGTGCTTTTGGCACAAAATTTCAGGCTGGCCAGAACACTGATCAGACGTTTCAGTTAGTGATCTGAAAAGAGTTGTAAGTACATGTAGTGGTAAAAGCTGTGCTTGACATACATTGGGTAGAAACACTGCAGTTTGGTGGCGACATTCAGCGGTCTCTTGAAGCTCCGGATGTCCCACAGTTTCATAGTGTCATCTCCTAAAGTAAGAGGCAATGGAAAAATCCTTAAGCCATGGGTGATCAGATCCAATTTTCAAAGGGTACACAGATTGAACTTCTCTATTCAATCGTTCACCAACCATAATATGAAATTATTCACAGTGTACACTGGTTCCTTACTTTGCTGAGGGTTGAATGAAGTTATTTTGACTTGATGGTATAAACTCTATGAGCTACACTGTATTTCTAGGTTGTTGGTCTGGTACTCAATATTTGACTTGAAGTTCTTAAACTTGTGAATCCATACCTCCTCTTGAGAGCAGAGCTTTGTTATCATATGAGAAGCTCACACAGGTGATACCAGCTCCATTCTGATGGGCTGTTCTCTGGAGGAACTTAGTGTGGACCTGGGACAAGGGAGAATGGATAAAACGATAAGAAATTGACTCAAGAACAAAAACAAGATGTGGGCAGTGAGGAAAAATAACAACACTTAGTAGTAGACAGTGGAGTGCAAATACAAATGGATGAATCAAATTATAGGTAGTGTCTAGTCACAGTTGAACTTACATTCAGGTTAGCATCCCAGATTTGTATGGACCCATCCTGCAAGGCAAAATGTCATGTTATTGGACAGTATAATGATTTTGGATGTACTCTTAATCACAATTCAAACTCTATACCATAGAATGCTATACACCAACTTTTGAAAGGCTGGCTGATATGTGTATGCATTGCCTGATACACATGGAAAGAATAGCTGGTCCAAATCTTTTGAAAACAATGACGGTACACCTTGATGTGACTAAGGTGTACAGTCAAGAGACCAGATCATGTGTAGCTTTACAATTATCACACTGATTATTCCAAACAGACAGGCATTATTACAGACATTATTACAACAACAACAACAACAGACAGGACAGAGGCAAGTGGCGGGCTGCCATCAAGCCTCAGCATCAGTGTGCAAGCACGTCTAACCCTCGGATGATGGAGAACAACAGATGACAAACCAGTGAGACTAACCTCACATCCCCCCACGATGAGTTTCCCATCCCTGCTGAACCCACATGAGGTGACCCCAGTCTTCCTGCCCTGCTGAGATCGTGCCTTGAAGGCCGTCTTGTGCTTCTTACCCTCCGACTCTACGTCCCAGATTCGTACCGTGCTGAAATACAAACAAACAACAAATTTTACAGGACGCTATATGTACTTCAATACATCATACTTTAGACATTAGATGCATTTCAAAAGAACCATGCTATCTCTGGCTGTGATACTTGGTAAGTGAAAATCTATCTTAATATTGTTCCTTGATACGCTTATTATAACATGAATCAAAGTGATTTTGATGCAGTACTGCTTGCTAACTGAGGAGGTTGGCTTTATGTGGCCAAAAACACTCAATCCGGCAACAGATGTCCAAAGTCAGGGATGGTTGCAGCAAGTTTGTAAAAAAACTACACTACAGGTAATCTTTAAATATTATTATTAAGATTTGATATCTTAAAGAAAAGTTGTCAATCTAAAACTTTGTGCAGTCTTACCTGTCATCTGAACAAGTCAGGAAGAGTCCCTTTGTTCTTGGGTGCCAGCAGGCACAATTCAAGGAGGCTACATGGCCCTGTAGTGATGGGAAATTTATTTTTAGTTATTCATTCTTTTCTTTGTTAGTTGGTTCAATCAGTCAGTCATTTCTTCAGTCAAATGTCAGTAATTCAGTCCTCTGTTTTTTTTACTTTGTTCATTCATTCAATCAGTATTGCATTTGTTGTTTATTCTTTTCTTCAGTTATAGTAGTTTAACCTTCTCCCTGCTGCCTGACCTGTAACCATTATTGGGAGCCAAATGGCTACTTCAGCGCCACTTTACTAAAGGTTAAAAAGTAGAAACTGAACTGAACTGAAAAAAGTAGACAAACAAATCAACAAACAAACCTTGGTCTTATACTATTATGATACATTGTAGTTCGTCTGTGTTTGAAGTTAAAAACTTTTGATCCAACACAATAAAGTTCTCTCACCTAGGGGGGTCAGTCTACTGAGGAAGACCAGAGTGACTTAGGTTGAAAGCTCTAACTTTAAACAAACCTTAGTCTTAGCCATGTCCTGTAGATACTGGTCCCCTTTAGAACATTCAAGCACCTCAAAGCCGTCTCTGTCGTAAACCTTAGCCTGTGAGTTTCCTGCTGCTATCAGGATCATGTCTCCTGTTATGGTGTAGGCCAGGGACCTGATGTTGTGACTGCAGAGGAAAATATGATATTAGATCAACCAAAATGAAGATCATTCCTCCCACTATTACATGTATATTCGGTTATGGCATAGGCTGCTACATGTAATACATTCAACAGTTACCTACACAAACATCATTCCTCCCACAAATAAAAAGTGCATTGAGGGCATTTAGAAAAGGTACACTCAAGTCTAGTTACCAAGGTAAGAGTCATGTGTAGTCATATGTCAGTCATATGTCAGTACATCTGATTTGAACTTCTGTAGCTCAAAACATAAGGTGGCAAGTTGGTCTTGTGGTAACTTAGAGCTGTTGAGAATCTGTAGGTTCTGGGTTCAAATCCAAGGCCCAAATGTTCTGTCCTTGGAAAATGCACCTAACACCAATTTCCTCACTCGCTAAGGTCAAAATGAGTACCTAGCATTGAAAAGGGACTTCATCTCAGGTGTCCTGTGTTTGAGGAGAGCCACAACTTGAGTATGTTAAAGATCCCACCACACATATCGAAAACAGACTGACCATTCGCAGGGCTGAATCGTGCGGAAAGACTGCAGACTGGCGTCCATGGCAGCAAAGTCCCAAAACCGCAGGTCATAGTCATAACCTCCTGTGATCAGCCGTGACCCCGACGGGTCAAGGGCAAGGGCTGACACCTGTATATATAAGTTCAAAGATTCAAAGTACATGTAGACAATTTAGCAACCCTTAGAGATATCTGAGGACTTTTTCTTAATATTACTGCAATTGTGGGTATATGTCTGTCAAAACTGTGTGAAACTGAATTGTTAAACCTGTATAACCTTCAATGCAACACACCTGTCCAGCTTTGCAGGCATGTAGTGGCAGCAGATCATGTCATATTGAACAATTTGTTACAAGGTATGTATTATGAAGTAAGTTTAAACTGTAATTTCCAACACAACAAAAATTGGACTCACCCAAATTTTTCGACTGTACAACTCCAGTCTTTTTCAAGGAATGAGCAATCCACCGCTTCCGTGACGTCACGCAGATAACACACGTGACTCCGTGAGCAGTGGATCATAGGTTGCAGAAATAATCCTATGATCCACTGCTCACGAAGTCACGTGTGTTATCTGCGTGACGTCACGGAAGCGGTGGATTGCTCATTCCTTGAAAAAGACTGGAGTTGTACAGTCGAAAATTTGGGTGAGTCCAATTTTTGTTGTGTTGGAAATTACAGTTTAAACTTACTTCATAATGACTTCTACCAACACAGATGAACTTTCAAGATACAAGGTATGTACTTTTACCTTAAGTTGCTGTTTTGAGCTATCTTGAGGTTAAATTTGATCAAATTAAGTCTATATACCACACTTTATAAAAACTAACATGTTAGATAGAAGTCATCATGCCCTTTTGCCATTGTACAATATCATAGACATCTGTACAGAATTTTACAAACCGTTTTGTTGCCATGTTCCAAAGTGATCTCATGACTTGCAGGTATTCTCTTATTCAGAGGCTGAAAGAGAAAAGGAAATCATTAATTCTTTAAGAGTTTTTTTTTTACAGTTATGATGCTTCAACTTACAACAACACTACCTTCACAATATTCCCCTATTCTTATGGATCACAAAATCCTTACCCCAGTACATAGCTGTTCAAAACATTTCTTACATCATGTGCACATGTCTTTAAAACACCAATATGGCCAACACTAGATGACATCATACTATTCATAGTCACATGACTACAAAAATGCTTTATAGTGATTGGTCAAGACTTGCAATGACTCACATCCTCCTCCTCATCACCACCATCATCATCATCATCCTCATCACTGTCCCCGTCAGAGTTCTTGGGAGGCATCGGTGGACCAATGAACTCTTCTTCTGGTTCTTTCTTTATGTCTCCCTTTGGAAATAGTGATATGTATAACATTGTAATATCTGCTGTAAAAGGAAAAACTACATGTACATGTACTGTTCTTGCCTTACATGTACCAGTAGTATATGCTAGATACTCTCCAAGCAGAGGTTGGTGGGGACAATAGTAACCTTTCTATTATATTCCCAGTCTGTTTTGACAGAAAACGGCATATGATAGAAAGGTTACTATCGTCCCCGCCAACCTCTGCTCTGGTACATCTGCCTCATGTTACCAAAATGCCTACTGTCTATATCAGTGTACAAAATAAAGGCACTTTAGACTTTTCTTTAAGATCAAGCCCCTGGGGATTTTCGTAACTCTTACTTGAGTAGGTGGTAATGGTGGTCCTATCATTGCCTCATCTGAAGAGTCTGAATCATCTGAGTCTGAATCGGGTGCTGGTTTCTGGCTGGCTGAGGAGGTTGAGGGTTGGGGGCCAGGGCGGGGTCTGGCCATGGGAGGGGGCATCCTGTCCTCATCTGAACTGTCACTGTCTCTCGCTGCTGCTCTTTCCTCTGTGATAGGACAAGAACAAAGCACAAAAGTCAAGTCAAAGTTCCTTCCCGTACCTATACATGGTGCTTAGGGCAGCACCCATCTCTGTTTCTGTAGCCCCTGGGCCACACAGTTATGCAGCAGTGGCTATACTGGTACCGTACTGTATTGGTGTGTGTTTACCTCCCATACTTAGTACGGTTTTCCAAATACTGAGTTAGCACTGAGCTCAGGATGGCAATGCTGCATTGTAACACAGACAGACACATGTGCAGCTGCTAATAATCCAATTGCTATTGGGATTAGCAGTATGAAAGAAGAAAAGAAGAAGACGCTCTTACCGAACACCTTCCGTGACCTTTCCTGGGCTGTTTTTCTGGTCTGTTCAAGTATGGAGTCAAGGTCAAAGGTCCTCGCCTTCTTCTTTGTTCCTGGTTGTCAGATAAATGAATAAAATGATGGAGATAGTCAATAATAACAATGCGAATATGATGACAGAAAGCAAGGAGTGCAGGCGCTTTAAATTGAAGTAATTTCTAAAGAGAAACAATTCCTAATTTGACTTTCAGCATTGGCATTCAACTCTACTGGACTGCAAGAAGTACTTAGAAACTTGTGTGTATATAAAGATCATTGTAACTTATGTAAGCCTACAGCGTGATTTTATTTTAACAAAGAAGTTAGGGTTTAATACAAACCTCCGAAGGAGGAGAAACCCATGACCTTTGACATGTCTGTGTCCTCATCCATGTTGTCTGAAGTGAGAAAAAATGAAATCTTATGTCAATATATGGACAGATGTTGGCTTTGCTGTAGTGCATTAGTCAGAACACATTTTTGCTGAACTTACCTATACTGTTGGGTGTTGACATATATTGCTGTATGGGAGAAATTCCCATTGTTAAATTTATTAATACTTGCATGCTTTCTTGAGGAGTGTTGCGTATAGCTCTAATCTCCAAGCAGATACTTCTGTGGTCGCAAAAGACAGTATCAAATTGGCCAGGCAGCCATAATAAAGTCCAGTGTTGCGACCATCGAAACATCTGCTTGGAGATTATACTTTGATACTTTATATAATTCTTGTGTGGAAACCTTCTTGTGTGGAAACCTTCTTGTGTGGAAACGACTACAACACCGCATGATTCCTTTTCAGCACAGATCCACCCAAAACAGAGCTATAAAGTTAACGTTAGGTCACGACGTCTCGCCTGCGTGACGCGTGAGCAACAACAAACATGGGGAGGGGGGCAGGCAGAAAACATTTCCGAAACGACTTTTGGCTCCACTGGGAGAGGAACTCGTCATTTTAGAGCACAATTCAACATTTATCTATCAAAAGACTGTTTTGTACAATAAACTGGAGACAGAAAAGTACTAAAAAGACATACAAACCTTGATTTTCGACGCTGTCGTCGCGTTTTTGTGACGCCAAGCTTGGTTGACCCCTGTTGACCTCTGAATGACCTGACCCTCTTGAGTATCCTGATGACCCACATAGTACGTGTGCTTCCTGATGACCCACATAGTACTTGGTGTGTCCGCCTGTACCATATCACTCACGTATGGATGACAGTGTGTTTGGCCCAATTTTTGGGAACATTACGGGCTCATACCTTCTGGTTTTTCATTTAATAACCAAATTTTTGTGATTGGACAATGTACTAGTATTTGAATGAAAATTGAATGTTTCGGTCATTCAGTGGCATATCATACTAGCCTCTCAGGCTTCGGCCGGAAGCGGCAAACTGTACTCTCTAGCAGACCAACTCCTCTAGCATATTATCTCTCTCTATTTCAGTATTTGGCCAATTTCTACTCTTTCCAGTCGCCTTCCAAAGCCTGGTAGAGGCTAATATTATACGGTGGTTCAACGGTCAGTACTCGAAGGACAGCGAGTCCAAAGTCCGTCCGAGCGCACAGTCCCGTGACACACCTGCACACACAGAAACACACCTGTCCAAGGCAAGATGGGCCACCTTACGTTACCTATTCACGTCTTTTTCATACTCCTAACTGTATGTTACGGTCAAAAACATTGCTGCTACCCCAACCAGTACGACCTACATGAATCAGAAACTGGCTGGAGCTATGGACCAATAGGAGGGACGTCCTCTTACACTGGAACTCGGCGTGTGGCGTACGATTTCGTCAGCAAGAAGCTGGCGATCGAGGAAACAACCGACTCTGGAGGCGTGCGACAGTATTATAAGCAGATCTACGACTATCCAGAGGTATGGCGTGTATAAACGATTATCTCCAAGCAGATCCTAGGGTGGCAAAAAGACAGTATAAAATTGGCCAGGCAGTATTCATTGGCCAGAGAGGGCCCAATACGCCACCCATGGCCAATTTGATACTGTCTTTTGCCACCCTAGGATCTGCTTGGAGACTAGTGAAACGACATGTACAGGTCTTCAGATTGTCCTCTACATGTATATGGGTTGGTATGTTACGTCACACCCGCCATGTTGGTGGGGTGGATGGATCCAAGATGGCGACTTTCTGAATGATTTTGAAGTAGGAATTATAAGTATTCTTACCCTGATGTTCTCTGAATTCTCTGAATATACGTTGGTAAATCCCATGCATTACTGTTACTGTTGGAAAATCAACGTGTTTTGTATGTTTCCCATACAATGACTTAATCCATAGAAATGCTTTGATCCACCAATATGGCGGACATGAATTACGTCATAGTCACCTGACATTGTAACGTCACTGAAAGCTTTTTCATTGGCTGTTAATATATGTAGCGTCACCCAATCGACGTAATGTTTTCATAATTAGCTCTTTTAAAATTAATTCATGGTGATTTTTCTTCAATTTCTGTACTTCAGGGTGCCCATTATCTAATCATGGGGACGGACTGCTTTAAAACCAAACTGACAGGGGAGATGAAACAACACTGTATCCCAGGTAGGTCCATATTTTACCTGTCATTTACACTTAATACTTAAAGAAAGCGTCAATTTTAAGTTCAGTAGAGCCAATCTCCATATGGTTTCATAGTTGGGAAGACTGGAACACAAAGTACTTCATTTCACAAATTCTTAGACAATTTTTTTGTTGCTTCTTACATACAATGTATTACTTATGGATACATTTTGTACATTTTCATACATGTTTTCCATTTGTTACCTCACACTTCTGATCATACACTGTTACTTTTAAGTTAGATCTTATATTTAGATCTGTCGTTTTAGTCAGTGTTTTGTAGCAGTGTTTTTGCCATCTACCCACAGGACAAGCCCAGCACCTTGGCTCGTACGTGTACGGTGGGGTAGACTCCAGTTTGTTGGTGGACTCGTTCCTGTTCCAGACGATGGGAAACATGACGACTCACAGGGAGGTGACCCGGGTAGGCTGTCTGCCTGTACGCGAGCTGCACACGCACCTGGAACCTACTAGTAGGTTTTGGTATAACATCGAAACAGTTATTTTGGTGGCTGCACGAACACTTTCAAATTGGCCAGGCAGTATAATCTCCAAGCAGATCCTAGGGTGGAAAAAGACAGTATCAAATCGGCAAGACAGTATCATCGAAACACAGTATCAAATTGGCAAGACAGTATCATCGAAAGACAGTATTAAATTGGCAAGACAGTATCATCGAAAGACAGTATCAAATTGGCAAGACAGTATCATCGAAAGACAGTATCAAATTGGCCAGACAGTATCATCTCCAAGCATATCTTAGGGTGGCGAAAGACAGTATCAAATTGCCCAGGCTTTCTCCATTTGCCAGACGGTGACCATTTGCCACCTACTTGGCTGGAGTAAAAATACTAGTAGATACCAGAGGCCCAACTTTTGCTTGGATTTGGAGAGAAGGTATCTTTTGATGTATCCAGAACTGTGTTTTATCCAGGACCATTGAGAGGCACGGTTCTGGATAGTCCACGCGTATGTTCTGGATGGATGGTCCACGCGTATCCAGAACGAAAATCTACTTGTTTTGAATTTTCCCTGACAAGAAAAAGTAGTAACAATCAACCCAATGCAGTTTGAATTGATTATTTCTTCCTCAACAACTTTTGTGTTTAATAAGTTTAATTTATTTTTCTCCAATTCCCAGACAAGACGATAACCATGCAGTCTATGACGTATGAAGACGTCATCACCACTGCACCGGACCCAAGTGTGTTCACCCCTCCTGTTCCACCCTGTCCGCCCAGGCACCAGTTCTCACAGGTAAATATCCACTTCCTCAATATACTTTTGTCAGATACAAACTTGTAATATGAAGCCAGGTGATACACTGTTGCATGAATCATAAATGCTAATTGGAATGTTTTATGTTTCCCCATTTCTATGCCCTTCCTTTTCTTATTCAACATTGGATTTCGCTGTTGTGGGAAGATTTTTCTAAATCGTAGTTTCGTTGTAACTGTTAGAACAATGTTGTTTTCTTTTTACCAGAATATCCAAGACTCTCAACTCAAGCAGTGGATCGAAAAGACGAAAAGGGAGCAGCGAATCTCAGATCCTCCTCACCTCTGACAGGCCTCTCATCTGCAACTAGTGTCAGCACACCACAAGTGCACATGAACATTATCAACATCCAAGTGACAGTATAGACTTAAAAGCGTGGGACTGTGCGTTATAAACACAAACACTGTCCTATATGGTTACACCAATAACTCAAATAGATAATAAATAAGTTCAAATAAATATCGACAACACAACACTCAACAGTCCAAAATCTAGAAGCCAAACAATTTGCCGTTTTCTGTAGCCAAGAAACCATCTACGCCATTTGAACAGTCGCGCGTGTCAAGTACTGGTTTAGCAAGGTAAATACTAAACATGCCTTGACCCTTGGCAAATAAGGTCAAAGACCGCTAGGCGAGCGTGGTTATTGCTACAATCGATATCAATAAACGTTCCATCGAATCTGCCGTAGCAACCGTAGAATTGGAATCAACGTTCCATAGAATACTGGCCAGCAACCACAGGTTACAAGTGTACTGCCTACTTTATCACTTAAGTGCAATTTTGCGAGGTTTAATTTCTTACAGATTAATCAAACTTTGAACAGAGAGAATTTGAGTTTTGTGGTACGCGAGGCAACAAGACTAAATTAAGTTTTCAAACCATAAGATTAAGAGCTAAATTTTGATGAAATTTCCAAGACGTGTATCAACGTTAATCAAATTGCTTTGTGCGTTTTGTATCTTGAAGATCTCCGTGCACTGATTTGTCACAATGAAGGTCAGCCAGTGTTTTATGTCCTTGTCGGACCATGCATGCTTAGTGACGTCAGCTCAGGTGTTGCATAGAGACGCCCCCAGGTCACGCTCTATATATAGCTAGTGCACGAGTGATTGCTCACTGAGAGTGCACGACTCGGTACAGTATTTGAGGGGGACGAGACAAAATGGCTTGTCGGGGGCGGCTTCGGCAGGAATTTCGGCTCAAGTCGTTTGGTCTGGATCACGGAGAGTGCCACGACTTTACCAGAAGCCCGGTAATACCTGGTTATGTTTGTAGTACGATCGTAAACTATAGGCAGTCGTGGGGTAGTCGTAATAACGTCCTTGGCCGTACGAAATGTAGTTGTCTTGCTTACATGTTACGGGAAACGTTATTGTCTTAGATTCGTGTGGGCGTTTGGGTATGTCACACCCTGCTTGAAAATTCAACGACATCGAAACCGTAAGACCCCCATCTTTGTTAAGTTACAGAAGATAACAGTACGAAAACAGCACAACTGGAGTATAATTGTAAATATGTACATGTAAAGAAAGGCGAAAGGCGTCATTGCAATGTTGTAAAGGCGAACAAAGAACCGTATCTTGAACCCAATTTGATAAAGAGCTGCAGGCTACACATGCCTTCCTTGTTAAGCACAACAGTGGGTACTTGTGTTTCAGACTTTTAGCTGATTGCACCATTGTTTACCAGACACTGGCGCCTGTACATGATACTAAGGTGTGAACAGGCGACACGCTTGAAATCTGCCAAGTCATTAGCGTTATGTTTGAACTTGTGAATATCTGAAGGAAGTGACACTGAAAGGAGTGGCGGATTTCACTGGAAACGTCCGGATAACATCTCTGTAATCTATCCAGTAGTAGACTTTGAATTCCTATGAGTATTGTTTACCTGGATGTCTGACCTCCATGTGTGTGTGTGTGTGTGTCTGCGTGTGTACATGTGCGTGTGTGAGTGTATGTGTGTGTGCGTGTGAGTGTGTGTATGTGTTTTCAGTGCAATTTCTATATGCTCTCTCAGAGGGCGAGAGAGTCAGGTCTGCCATCTCTGATAGCAATGTTGCTGTCTGTACAGAGACATTTTGCATATCAATTGAAACATTTACCTTTCTTTAATATCGTCTGCATGCACTGTCCTAACTATTATAGGTATGGCTGAACCTCTGGGAAGAGTCCTGGCTATGTTTAAAACTTTTAAATCTGTCCTTAACATATCTGTTTTGGTCTTACAGTGGTTCACCAGCCCAGCACCGTTTGTCGTCTACCGTACAGTGATATGCCTGTACCAGATCTGTACCTATGCCACAGCCCACTCGCTGTACGGCATCAGCCCCAAATCGCTGATCTACCTTACCGAACTGGGTTACATCATCCTTACCGCGCACTCCATCGTCAGCGCCATTCTCTGCTTCCTCGACTTCTTCGGCAGCCGATGTTGCACGAAATCACCCGAAGACCACCCGAAAACAGCCGAAGATCATCCGACTTTTCCCGACGAGGGCTTCTCGGCAACGAGGTCTACCGACGCCATACACCAGACGAGCCAATCGCTCACACTCCCTTGGTACTACAAAGGGTACTGGGTCTTGTACAATGTGGCTTTCAGCACTGGGTTGTACATCACGATTGCTTTCTGGGCACTGCTCGCGGATGACGAAGGTGCCTACAGTATTCTGTTCCATGCCATCAACACAGTTGTTATCGTGATTGAGGTGTTGGTCACCGGTTTGCCCTACCGTCTGCTCCACCTCGTCTACCCGTCGGCCTTTGGGTTTGCGTACATGCTCTTTACGGTAATGAAACAAAGTTTATTGCAAATTCAGATGAAAGTTCATCTGTGTTGGTAGTTACATGTTTAAAGTAAAGTTAAAACTTTTGGTCCAACACAAAAAATTATCTCACCTAGAGCTTTCGACCAGTCACTCTGGTCTTCCTCAGTAGACCATTGCAAGTTCTTACCCGTAGGCTAATTGCAGGTACATGTAGCATGAAAATAAAGTATGGACAATTTTGTTGAATAACAATATAGTATGTGACTACTCTAACTACTAAACACTAAACTGTAAGTTATTGGGTTGGACTTCTTTTACCGAGACAGTGGAAGACGAATTTTAATGATCCCACATTTTCTATAATGTGTGGGTTTTGTGATGTTAAGAGGAGAGTAGTTTCCTTTTGTCTGCACACGTGGAGAACTTATTTTTAGGATGGGATGGAAAAACAAAACAGGTCCTTTCTTTCGTGATCGTAGAAGAGTAGCCAGGCAGGCTATGCTGTCTATATGCAATAAGAAAATAGCACATGAAAGCTCCCAAAGACCATGAAGACCACCAAACCCCCCAGTTTTTTGCATGCTATGGAGGCTAGTACAAATGTAGAAGGGGCAGTTTGAAATAAAATATGTTTCGTCTTCCACCTTGTTTGACATGCAATATTTACAAGTTCTTTCTCACACAGGTGATCTACTGGGCGGGGGGCGGTACCGACTTCTTCGACAGACCCTGGATCTACCCGGTCATAGATTACGGAGGAAACCCGGCTCTCGCCGCCGGTGTCGCCGCTGGCAGCGTCTTGGTGGCCATCCCGCTGTGTCACGTGATCCTATTCGGTCTCGCGCTTGCTCGCGAGATGTTGTCAGGTCTCGTAAAAGGACGCATGCGCAGCGCATCCATCAGTGTTCGAATGGAACAGCACCGAACGGAAGAACGTGCATAAAATCTATCATGAAAGTTCATCTCTGTTGGTAGTTACATGTTCAGAGTTGGTCCAACACAAAAAATTTTCTCTCACCTAGAGCTTTCGACCAGTCACTCTGGTCTTCCTCAGTAGACTGACCCAGTGAAGCAACCGCGACGGTGGCCGACATAGTCTACGAGATACCTTTGACACAGTGTCGACGTCACACTTCAAAGAAGCCACGTGACAAGCTTTACTGGGTCAGTCTACTGAGGAAGACCAGAGTGACTGGTCGAAAGCTCTTGGTGAGAGAACTTGTTTGTGTTGAACCAAAAGTTTTAACTCAAAACGTGCCTGAAACCTCTTCAACGTGTCTCTTTTTTTCTGTACGATTTTAATTAGCGTGACTACTAAAGTAGGTTTTTTATAAGTGGTGGAATTGAAAAGTGTGTTGTAGTTACCATTTGAAGGACTGTCTCGTGGAAAATGCCATAACAACTTTTCAGTGGATAGAAAAGACGAAAAGGAAACAGCAAATCTCAGAGCCTCAACTCTAACAAAGCTCTCATCTGCAACTCCACAACTGTACATCAACACTATTAACCTCTAAGTGGCATTAGACTGTGCGTTATTGTAAAAAAAATTCAGACTGTCTCATATTGTTACACCAGTAACTCGTAATAAGCAAGGACGTTCTTGTAATAAGGAATAACAGACCAAAACCCAGAAACCCAAGCAACAATCTACACCGGTTGAACTGCAGCACGTGCCAAGTATAACATGGCAAAATAAACATGCCTTGACCCAAGGCAAACAAGGACAAACACAAGGTCAAAGACCGCTACAGTCAATTAACGTTCCATCGAATGTGCCGTAGCAACCGTAGAATTCGAATCAACGTTCCATCGAATACCGGTCAGCAACTAGAGGTTCCAAGTGTACTACCTACTTTATCACTGAAGTTCAATTTTGCGAGGCTTAAATCCATACAACTTAAACTTAGAAACTTTGAAACGTCGAAATTTTAGAACTGATAGAATACCAGTTTCATGGTACGCGAAGCGACAAGACTTAGATTAAGATTAAGAGCTAAACTTTGATTAAATTTCCAAGACTTACATCAACATAATCAATTGCTGTATGTGTTTTGTATTTTCAAGATCTCTTTGCACTGATTTGTCACAATGAACGTGAAGCACTATCTGTTTTATGTTCTTGTCGGGCCATGTATGCTTACACCCCCATTCCACTTAGACGGCGCTCTCTCTGCGACCTGAAATTGGCCAAAGCGCGGAAAGAGCGCCAAGGTCGCGATGGGAGCGCGATGAGAGCGCCATGAGCGCCGTCACCCCAGCGATGGTAAGGAACAGGTCATACGGACATACCATCGCCATGAGAGCGCCGAGAACGGCGATGCAACGATGAGCGCCGTGAGAGAGCGAAGAGAGCGCCGCAAGAGCGTGAAGCGAGCGCCATGAGAGCGCGTAAAGGCCCCAACATTAATTTAGATACAAAAACGTGACCTCGGCACTCTCACGGCGCTCTCTCCGCGCTCCGAACAATTCCAGGTCGCAGAGAGAGCACATAGAACGCACAGAGGAGCGCAGTGAGAGCGCCACTAAGTGGAATGGGGGCCTTAGTGACGTCAGCTCAGGTGTTGCATAGAGACGGCCCCAGGTCAGGTCACATGTTACACTCACGTTCTAGTGCACGTCTGGGCACAGTATCGGAGGGGGACGAGACAAAATGGATTTCCGGGGGCGGCTTCGGCAGGAATTTCGGCTCAAGTCGTTTGGTCTGGATCACAGAGAGCGCCACGACTTTACCAGAAGCCCGGTAAGACCCTGGTTATGGTTGTAGTACGATCGTATGTAGTCGGGCATGTGTCGCATGACATTTTAGTTGTCTTGTTTACATGTTAGAAAGACGTTGACTTGGATCCTTGTCACTGTTTGGGTCTTCCGCAGCCAGCTTAAAAATTCAACAGCATCAAAATCGTACAACTTTGTAAAGTTGCAGAAGATAACCGCACGAAAAGAGAAAAAACTAGATTGCATACATGTATATGAAAAAAAGAGCAAGGCGTCTTTGTAATGGTGTAAAGGCGAACAAAGACCGTAAGTAACTCTACCTTTTCACCCATTTTGATAAAGAGCTGCAGGTTACTGACGTACCTTCTTTGAACAACATTGGGGTACTTAAGTTTCAGGCTTCACATTGTTTACCAGACACTGGCACTTGTACATGATACACCGGCGTGAAGTTCAACATAATCTGCCAAGTCATTTCTATCCTTATGTATATCTCAAAGTTTAAATATCCGAAGGAAAATGTACATGTGTGTGTGTTCATGTTTGTGTATTGGTCTGATTTAGCTAGCTGTCGCCGCGCCGCGTGCCTGAGAAGCTGTGTGTCACACCGAAGGGCGGTTATTTTTTTTATACATGTACTGGTAGATACAGATAGGGTTATCTAGGTTGAAAGGGTTTTTCATTCTTCCATGTATCTGGCTTTTACCTAACCTAAGCGCCGTTGTTCTGATCTTGCAGTGGTTCAGGAGGCCAATACACTTCCTGGTGTACCGTGCGGTGATATGCCTATACCAGATCTGCACCTACGCGACTACCAAAGCGCTGTACGGCATCAGTGCCAAGTCTCTGATCTACCTTACCGAGCTGGGTTACATCATCCTCACAGCGCATTCAATCGTCGGCGCTTGGCTGTGCTTCCTGGACTTGTACGGAAGCCGATGTTTCCCGAAATCACCCGAGGTTTATCCGACTTTTCCTGACGAGGGTTTCTCGACAACGAGGTCTACCGATGCCATTCACCAAACAAGCCAACCGCGCACACTTTCGCAGTATTACAAATGGTACTGGGTCTTGTACAATGTGGCTTTTGGCATTGGGGTGTACATCACGATTGCATATTGGGCACTGCTTGCTGACAGTTATGGCCCCAGCAGTATTCTGTTTCACGCCTGTGGTTGGTGGCCAATATTCTATGGAAAGTTGATTCCAATTCTACGGTTACTACGGCGCATTCGATGGAACGTTTAGTGACGTCAGCTCAGGTGTTGCATAGAGACGGCCGCAGGTCAGGTCACATGTAAGGCCCACGCTCTAGTGCACGTCTGGGTACACTTATCGGAGGGGGACGAGACAAAATGGATTCCCAGGGACTTCGGAAGGAATTCCAACTCAAGTTGATGCGTCTGGATCACGGAGAGCCCCACGACTTTACCAGAAGCCCGGTAAGACCCTGATTATGGTTGTGCTACGATCGCAAACTGTGGGTATTCTTGGTGTAGTCGTGTATACATCGCACGACACTTAGTTGTCTTGTTTACATGTTACGGAAGACGCTGCCTTAGAGTTCGTTTGTTTCGCAAACCGCCTTTAGGCGTAACACACCAGTTTTGTACGTGTACGTACATGTACAAGCTGCGTAAGACCGGACTGTAAGGTTTGAGCCAGGAAGGTCCCCTACTCTTTTCGATAAGTGCGGTGGGTGGGGTGTGGCTCTCCCCAAACACGGGACCTCCATTTAACGTCCTATTCAATGGACGTCTCTAACGGAAGCTAGGTACTCATCGTGTTAAGTGCCTTTCCCAAGGGCACATGATCGGTGACATGGGCAGGATTCGAACTCGCGGTCTTGTGAGCCGAACACGCTACCGACTGCGCCTCAAGACCACACATTAGTTAGATCCTTGTCACCTGTTGGGTCTGCCACAACCAGCTTGAAAATTCAACCACATCAAAATCGTTCGAATCTCTTTCTAAAGTTGCAGAAGATAACCGTACGAAAACAGAAAAAAAATAGATCTCATAATTGCATACGTGTATATAAAAAACAGAGCAAGGCGTCTTTGTAATGGAGTAAAGGCGAACAAAGCCGTTAAGTAACTCTAGCTGCAGGCTACTGGCGCACCTTCTTTGAACAACATTGGGGTAGTCATGTTTCAGGGTTTCCATTGTTTACCAGACACTGGCGCCTGTACATGTTATACACCGGCGTGAACATGCGACACGCTTGAAATCTGCCAAGTCATTTCTAGCCTTATGTGTATCTCAACGTTTAAATATCCAAAGGAAAGGGTGTATGTGTGTCTGTGTGCATCTTTGTGGACATATGTGTGTGTGCATGTGTGTATGTGTGTCTGTGCCCATTCCTGTGTGTTAGTATACGTGTGTATGTGTATGTGTGTGTGTGTGTGTGTGTGTGTGTGTGTGTGTGTGTGTGTGTACGTCGTTCGGTGTGATTTAGCTAGCTGTCGCCGCACCGCGTGCCTGAGAAGCTGGTGTGTTACGCCGAAGGGCGGTTATTATTTTTATACATGTACTGGCTATACCGATACAGATAGGGTTATCTAATAGGAGGTTGAAATGGTTATTCATTCTTCCATGCATCTGCCTTTTACCTTAAACCTGAGCGCCGTTGTTCTAATCTTGCAGTGGTTCAGCAGCCCAAAGTGGTACTTGGTCTACCGTACAGTGATATGCCTGTACCAGATCTGCACCTACGCGACTACCAAAGCGCTGTACGGCATCAGTGCCAGGACTCTCTTCTACCTTACCGACCTGGGCTACATCATCCTCACAGCGCACTCCATCGTAGGCGCCTGGCTTTGTTTTCGCGACTCGTACGGCGGCCGATCTTACCCGAAATCGTCCGACGATCGTCCGAGTTTTCCCGACAATGACGTGCGGACCACGACGAGGTCTACCGACGCAACTCACCAAACGAGTCAACCGATCACTGCACTTTCGCTGTACCACAAAGGGTACTGGGTCTTGTACAATGTGGCTTTCGCCATTGGGTTGTACATCACGATTGGTTTCTGGGCAGTGCCCGGAGGCAACGTAGACCCCCACAGTATTCTCTTTAACGTCATGAACTCAGTTGTTATCGTGATTGACGTTTTCGTCAGTGGACTGCAGTACCGCCTGATGCACCTGGTCTACCCGTCGGCATTTGGGTTCGCGTACATGGTCTTTGTGGTAAGAAAAGAAAGTTCATTATGTTTACCGACGGAAAACATCCTGTTTTTGCTGTATTTCTTCTCTTCTTCCGTTCCAAACACTGACCTCTGGCTTGGTCAATGACCTGAACCAGACTGTCTCTCACCATGGTAACTGGTGTTGGGTTACATAATGCAATTTTATAGTACTAGTAGGAGGGATTTACTAGCTAAGGAAAACATATTGTTTTAGCTAAGTTTCCTCTTCTTCTTCTTCCCAACACTGACCTCTGACTTGGTCACTGACCTGAATCAGATTGTCTCTCACCACGGTAACTAGTGTTGGGTTACATAATGCAATTTTATAGTACTAGTAGGAGGGATTTACTAGACTAGCTAAGGAAAACATATTGTTTTAGCTACGTTTCCTCTTCTTCTGTTTAAGCACTGACCTCTGACCTGGCCAATAACCTAATTTGTTGACGTCTCTCACCATGGTAACTGGTGTTGGGTTACATAATGTTGCAATTTTATACTAGGAGGGATTTATACTTCTGTCTGACAATATATATGAATGTGTTTGAGTAAGAATTAACAGGGCAGACCATATGCGAAGGTAAACATTATGCGTTCCTAGGGGGGGGGTCCGGTTTTTAAAAATGAACCTTCTAAAATGGCATTTCGTGCATTTTTGAGAGGATTTCCAAGAAAAAAATCAGAGATAAATTTTTATTCAATGACAAGGGGAGCAGTTTTTCTACGATTCCAGTCCATCTTTTCAAGAAAAATCTTGGACCTTCACATAAAAAGTGGACCAAAAAGTGGAC